AACATCTTGGCTAAAAAGATTAAAACACTTCTATTCCAAATTGTGGTATACATTATCTTTGCTTGAATGTCAACCATTCCTAAATTCAGAAAACACTTCTATACTAAACATTTCTCTTAAATATTTAAATGTTAATTTCTTTCCTGCATTCAATAAAAATAGCAAAACTTATTAGGGAATTCAATCCTGTGGGTTGAGTTGTTAATCCCTGTACTAAATTTATACAATTATTTTTTGAGTTTATTTCCTATTTTTATCTTGTCCTTCAACTGCAGTACAGTTCAGGGTTGCCTATTTTTAGTGCACTCAAGTACCACACCATGGCAATGCTTGTCACAATTCACCATATAACCACAGCAGTACTGGACCGCACCTTGCCTGGCAGCAGGGGGCCAGTGCTTATGTTATCTGTCTTTCAATTTAAAGGGTGAGTCCCAAGTTTTCTATTCTACTATAATGAATATCCATGTTGTTGTGGAAGAAGAGAAAAGCAAAAAAACATTTTTATTGCCCCTGTATTCTAGAAGAGACCTCAAAAACGTTGTTTAAAAGTAAGACATTTAATATGCATACCAAAGATAAAGTCAGTCCTTTTTAGCAAACTTGGGACTTCTGGCTCACTTTTTGTCCCATCTTTATTTGGAGAATCCTGTAAAATTATTTTGTTTTATTTTTTAAGAAAAATTTCAGAGAAATGAGTTTGACTTCTTGAAGATTCTTTGGCAGCTTTCTTTTCTTTTTTAAATTCTTGTCTAGATGAGCTGTCTGCAGAACAAGCCTATATTTATTTAAATATAAATTTAAAATCTGTGCCTCATGCCTCTTTGATATCTGAGATGGGGCCAAAATGATAAGTGTGTTTAGAGATAGCTTGTTAATATTTTTTCAGACTATCCAAATCAGCTCACTTGTAGAAGGCTGACGAGTGGAATTAGAGGAGAATAAATCAATATGTAATTATGACATGGTGCTGTGTCATGAGACAACGGTGTATTTGAAATTGGGGATGCAGGTTTCCTGCTTCCCAACCATCAGTCTGTCAATGCCGTCTGTTGCACAATATGAAGAACAACTGAGCTTATCCTCAACAAACACTGGCTGTTGGTCTTTTCATTTTTTTTTCTGAAGTACTTGTTTTTATCAAGACAAAGATCCCTGAAGCATCACAAAGATTTGTGCCTTAAGGAATGTATCACAATTAAGATCGTTTTCTTGAAACTTTTAAGTGGTCATAAAGAAATAAGAATAAACTGGAGAAATGAATTATTCCAAGGATGCCTGCCCAACACAATGTCACTGATATGAAATTTCACTTGCTTCTTTTAAAAGAATATGTATGATTTACTGTAGAAATGACAAAGATTTCAAATCTCAGTTACCAAAATGTGGAATAGCAATGTACTGTGTGGCTTCCCTTGGTTGCAATAGCAGAGGAAAATTACACATGAATGTTTAAAGAGATGTTGAACTATGTTATATTATTCATACTATAACTGCTCGTAGCACTTAACATAATTGTAGTTTAAAAGCTATTTATCCAATATTCCCCGTGAGTGTAGCTCCATATCTATCTAGTTTGCCCTCCATCCCCAGTCCATAATACATCATAACAGGAGCTTCTGCCTTTACCATATCTTCATCTAAATGCTTCATCAATGTGAATCATTTAATATATCATAGCAATACGTATTATCATTACCTCCATCTTATAAATGAGGAAACTGAGGAATAAATTATCCAAGATTACATATCTAGTAAACAAAGCCAGAACATGAACCCAGGCATTCTGACTCTAGAATCCTCATTCTTCTATATTGCCTGTCATATTAGGCATGCGATAAATAATCATTGAAAGAATGCATAAGACAGTACATTTTATACTTTAGCTTGACTAAATGAGAAATAGACCATTAGAGATACCAATCCTACCTCCCTAAAAATGTTCTAATAGAGGTAGTCAATAGTATTTATAGCATCATAATATGACAATAGCCAAGCTTCATTCTTGATGTAATTATAGAATTCTCTCAAGTTCCGAAGAGATATTTTTTTAAAAATTTGGTTAGGTTTAATTTGCTCAAAGTTGTTTTCATTTCCATTTAAATGTATTCTGCCATAAACAATACACAAATATATAAGCACAGAATTCTCCTGTAGTACTTGTAAAAGTGGCTTACAAACTTGGAAATTGCTATGAAGTGAAATCACTGATTATTTTATTTTACTTTGTTTGACAGAGTCTCACGGTGCCACCCAGGCTGGAGTGCAGTGGCCTGATCTCAGCTCACTACAACCTCCGCTCCTGGGTTCAAGGGATTCCCATGCCTCAGCCTCCCTAGTAGCTAGGATTACAAGTGTGCATCACCATGCCCAGCTAATTTTTGTATTTTTGGTGGAAATGAGGTTTTGCCATATGGCCAGGCTGGTCTAGAACCCCTGATCTCAAGTGATCCGCATGCCTCAGCCTCCCAAAGTGCTGGGATTACATGTGTGAGCCACCGCACTTGGCCTAGCCACTACCCCCAGGCTTACTGATAGATTTTAAAAACATTCACCAGGTAACCACTCTTTAAAGTACTGTGCCTCTAACTAATCCCCCCTTCTCCCTTGGACATTTTTTATTCTTTCCATGGAGGTGAATGTGTCTGGTCATATTCTCTAAATTTATATTTGTTGTGTATTTTAAGCTTGGTTTGATTATTATTTGTTTCCATTTTAATAGATTTTCCCAAGAGAACAGACAATTTCAGTATTTTAGTAATAATAAAATTCTCATAAGAATCAAGGAATAACAGACATGAATTATGTGTACTTTTCTTTCTTTCTTTCTTTTTTTTTTTTTTTTTTTTTTTTTGAGACAGAGTCTTGCTCTGTTGCCCCAGCTGGAGTGCAGTGGCACAATTTTGGCTCACTGCAACCTCCGCCTCCCGGGTTCAAGTGATTCTTCTGCCCCAACCTCCCAAGTAGCTGGGATTACAGGAATGAGCCACCATGCCTGGCTAATTTTCATATTTTTAGTAGAGACAGGGTTTCATCATGTTGGCCAGGCTGTTCTCGAACTTCTGACCTCAGGTGATCCACCCATCTCGGCCTCCCAAAGTGCTGGGATTACAGGTGTGAGCCACTGCACTCAGCCCAAATTATGTGTACGTAAAATACAATTGCTTGTTCGAAAATTATATTTCATGAGAAAAGTTCAGTAATATTTAATTGAAAAGACTGTTTATTATTGTGTTTGCTAGAATCAGTTTTATTTAAGAGTGTGTGGGGCTCCAGTTACACAGTACAGGGAAGGTGCAGTCTGGACCAGGATACCAGAGATGTGAGTTATGGGCCTGGGGATGCGCAATTTACTAGGAGAACTTATCCAAGCTATTTCGCTTCTCAGAGCCTCAAGTCGTTCATCTGTAATACTAATGCGCTTTTGAAACATCCTTATCTCTTTCAGAAAACATGTAGTGTAATGCATCATCACACCAATACTGTGAATTTCATAGTGACTTTTTTTAAGAAGTTATTTTTAAGGGAAGAAAGAAAACCTCCTTTCTTTAAATCTAGATTCCATTTAATTGATAGTATTTGTCTATGAAAAATAGAATAAGCTATGGTGAAGTGACTTGTGTAAATGATCTCATTCAGGAGGCACTGAAGGGACAGATACTTGTCACTGCCAAGTAAGTCACATTTAAGTTCCCTCAAGCCTTGAGAAATAATGCGAGGGAAAGTGCAAAAATAGCATAGTCATTCCTTTGGCTAAGTCAACTCCTGGGCCTCCTGAGAACGCTGCAGCTGTGTGTTCATCTGTATGCAAAGAGAAATAATAAGAATCATCTATATTTGGCACAGCGTACTTTTCTATATACCAGTGTACTCATCTATCAATCCATTTTTTGCGGAGCCTTTTGGTAAGGAAAGACCCACCATGCACACTGCCTCATGCACAGTTACAGGCACATATTGAAGATGCTTTTATCCCCCTGCAATACAGAAAATTGCATGAGCACACAACCACACTAAACCAACCAGGGTGAAACTAGAGGCAGCTGTATCTGATTGAAACTGTGGTGAGAACTGAGATTGACAGAGTTGCAGGACTAGGAGGTTAATGAGTCGATAGTCCTGCCTCCAGGCAGAACTGTCCTAAACCATCCCACGCAAATGACAGCTGAACCTCTTGGAAAAAAAAAAAAATCTTCACACTGTGCTTCAGTAACCTATTCCATTGCCTAAATGTCCTTATCCTCATAAAGTTCTGGAAACAATAGAAGTCCACATTCTCCTCTATTTAATCTCCACGTTGACAGATAGAAAAAATAATAAATTGACAGAAATGTCAAAGATGATGAGAACCTTAGGGATGGGTCATGGAACTGGTTATCATCACCTTTCCAGAGACCTCAGAGGAGATAATTAGCGAATCTGGTGTGGATTGTGGTTCTAGTTAAAGTAATACTATGAGTCGATTTGTTTTCACACATAACGTTTATTATGAACTACTGAATGAAATCTTGCCTTGCATGTCATAGCAAGGACCATAGGCTTAGCAAACTACCCTGAGCTGAAACATGAAATAAGAATAGGTTCTTAAATTTAAAAAGGGGCTGGGTACGGCGGCTCATGCCTGCAATCCCAGCACTTTGGGAAGCCAAGGTGGGCGGATCAGGAGGTCAGGAGATTGAGACGATCCTGGCCAACATGGTAAGACCCCATCTTTACTAAAAATACAAAAAATATTAGCTGGGCGTGGTGGCGTGCATGTGGAGTCCCAGCTATTCAGGATGCTGAGGCAGGAGAATTGCTTGAACCCAGGAGGCGGAGATTGCAGTGAGCCGAGATTGCAACACTGTACTACAGCCTGGGTAATAGTTGGAGGCTCTGTCTCAAAAAAAAAAAAAAAAAAAAAAAGGAGGTGTTGAACTGGTGTGTAAATAGAACCATATTTCTTTATTATTTTTTGTTGTAGGATTCTAATTTATAGATACTTTCTAACATATAATGCTTCTAATAATAGATTACTACCTGCCCTTTATTTCTGGGAATTGGGAGTGACAAGGGTGTTGGCAGCATTATATAAGAGAAAAGAATAAGAGGTTTGTAGACCAGAGTTTTAATCCCTTTTCTACTGTCTATCATCTCTATAGGTTTCAGAATACTGCTTGATGCTTGGACTTCATTGCCCTCACCTGTGAAGTGGGACTAATAATACCTATTTTACACTGTTCTTGAAGAATTAAATGGGATAATACTGGTGAAAGCATCCAGGACTTGGCAGGCACTGGAATAAATGTGAGTTGCCCATGAATCTGATCTGTCACCATTGCCTTTCTTTTTTCTCCGTTTCTCATGAGTTCTGAGAAGTAATTGAGTGCGGGACAAACTTGCCTGTTCTGAGCATGTCACTAGCCTGGGCTTCTGCTTCCATTTGGCCACTTGGCCTCTCTTCCCTGTTGCTGATCACCATGCAGACTCGTGGTGGGATTTCCCACAGGGACATCAGGGGCAAAAGCAAGGAGGCCTTCTCATCCCAACTTAAAACCGATGTTGGATTTTAACTTGAATTTTTAAAAATCTGCACAAGTTACATTTTTGCTAAGTAAAAGTAGATGGAATTTAGGTTCTAAAACACTGTATCCATTTTTAGAAAGCCATAACAGAACTTCTTTGTGCACAGGATAAAGAGACTGATTCAAAGATAGACTTTTTAATTCACAAGAGTGAGCAATAAAATTGCTATTATTCGTTGTTAGCTGGAAATGCTATTATCTTCATTATTTGGAATATATTTTTAAAGCTTCTTATTATCAGAGAAATATGTTCTAATACTTATAAAGTAATAAGTAGAGATACTTAAAACATCAGTCCTAATTTTATAATCGAGAACCAACCACTGATAATATTTATGTACATTTTTTCTCTTGTTCTACATATATTCTGACAGGAAGAACTGTTTTCAAGTTCAAATTCTTCCACTTACTAGTTGGTCTTTGGCAAGTTATTTAGGTTCTCTGAGCATCTGTCACTGCATCTGAAAACTGGTACCATCTTTATAGATCTTTTGTGAAGATTAATAAGAAAATGCATATAAAACAATACTGAATGTGGTACAGAATAAGCTTTCGATCATAATAACAGCTACTGTTATTGTGATCTTTATTGTCTGGATTATGTTTTCGACGGAAAAATAACAGTTCAAGTCAAAATACCTTGCTAGTGACTGTCATTATATATGACTGTTTCTCATACAATAACAAAAGGACAGTTTACTCAATGCTTTACTGTGTGACCCCAGATACTATAATATCATAACTTATTTAATCCCTATAACATATCTATGAGAAACATTATTAGTCCCATTTTATAGATAAGTAATCTGAATCAGAGGAAAAGCCACATGCAGATTTCACAGTGAAGTGGCAAAACTGGGATGTGAATGGAATCAATTGAGTTCCAGACTCTATTTTTGTAAACAGACATGGAAGAGTTTAATATTTAGCAGGTATATTTGTAAATATTACTGTAAAAGTCAAAAATTCTAAAAAGCAAATGACTTTCAATTAATTAGAAAAGGACCGGATAGATAAGTACAAGAAAAAAATTAGATGAGATGGCCTATCCTTTTAGAAAGAATGTTTTCTCCAATGTTCCCAATTAGCCTTTTATAACCATCCAGCAAATTTACAGGGCTTCCCCCCATTCAGTCCATTTCTTCAGAACTCTGTGAGTAGCTAGAAGTGGTTGGGCAGCAAGCAGTGTTCTTGGAAAAAAAGATGTGTGTTACTCTTGGAAACAGACCATGTTGCAAGAACGTCTTTGACATAAAACAAGGCTGAGTATACACAGTTGTCTCTCATATGGCATTGGTTTGGAAACAAGTGAACAAGCCAAACCCTATACGTCTCTCTTTTCCTTTGAATTGAATTCCAGAATGTGTTTTTTACACTTGATATTAGCCAAAAGGCTGAGAAGTGTCACTAGCAGAATGTGTTTTTTATATTACCAGGTAGTATTCATGTTCGTTCTTATTTACTCCTGCATAATATTTCATTCAGTGGATGTAACAAAGACTATTGAATGAAAACAAGATTCCTCAGTCATTCCAAACTAAGTTACAAATTCTGTGCTCTCTGGGTTCATCAACTCTTCCCTTTTGGATAATGAGAAAAAAAAGAGAACAAAAGTATCTAAAAACAAAAGACCGACAAAAGATAAACCATAATCGCTGTTCACTTTTGGGGAGGAAACTACTATGTTCAGTTATTGCTAAGGAAAGTACAAATTGGTATATTCCTGTTAGAAAACAATTTAGCAACACTTATGAAGTGAACTGTAAATGTTCATACCACTTGGCACAGTTCTCCCATTCCTGGGAATTTATCCTAAGGCAATAATTAAAAAGAAAAAACATATATAAATGCAGGGAGAATTCAATGCAGTGTTAATTATAAATGAAACCCAAGAAGCAAACCAATTGTTCAACAATAGACAAGTAGATAAACATCCACAGAATGTTTTGCTCCTTCAATAATTATAAACATAAAATGGAAAATAACAGAGATAAAGAAAAAGTTAAAAAGCAGGGCACTAAATATACAGGCGTACCTTGTTTCACTGTGCTTTGCTGTATTACATTTCACAGACATTGGATTTTATACGAATTGAAGGTTAGTGACAATCCTGTGTCAGGTAATTTGATTAGTTCCATTTTTCCAACAGCATGAGCTTGCTTCATGTCTTTATGTCACGCTTTTTTTGTAATTCTTGCAATATTTTCAACTTATTCCATTATTAATATATCTGTTATGATGATCTGTGATCGGTGATCTTTGATGTTACTGTAGCAGTTATTTTAGGACACCACAAATGTTGCCCATGTAAGACAGCAAACAACTGAGAAATGTCATTCATGTTTGTTCTGACTGTTCCACCAGCCAGCCATTCCCCCATCTCTCTTTTCTCCTCAGGCCTCCCTATTTCCTGAGACACGACATATTGAAACTAGGCCAATTAATAACCCTAAAATGGCCTCTAAGCGTTCAAGTGAAAGAAGGTGTTGCATGTCTCTCGCTTTGAATCAAAAGCTAGGAATGATTAAGCTTAGTGGGGAAGGCATGTCAAAAGCAGAGACAGGCCAGGCATTGTGGCTCACACCTGTAATCCCAGCACTTTGGGAGGCGAGGCGGGTGGATCAGCTGAGGTCAGCAGTTCATGACCAGCCTGGCTAACATAGGGAAACCCCCTCTCTACTGTACTCCCAGCTACTTGGGAGGCTGAGGCAGGAAAATTGCTTGAACCTGGGAGGCAGAAGGCACATTGAGCTGAGCTCACTCCACTGCACTCCAGCCTAGTAACAGAGCAAGACTCCATCTCAAAAAAAGAAAAAAAAGAGCTGAGATACGCTTATTGTACCAAACAACCAAGTTATGAATGCGAAGGAAGAGATCTTGAAGGAAATTAAAGAAAGTGCTACTCCAGCGAACACAGAATAGCAAAGTGAAGCAGACTTATTCCTGATATGGAGACAGTTTAGTGGTCTGGCTAGAATATCCAACCAGCCACGACATACTGTTGAGCTAAAACCTAATCCAGAGCAACATTCTAACTCTCACTTCGATTCTATGAAGGCTGAGAGAGATGAAGCTACAGAAGGAAAGCGTGTAGCTAGCAGAGGTTAGTTCATGTGGTTTAGCGAAAGAAGCTGTCTCTGTAACAGAAAAGTGTCAAGTGAAGCAGCAAGTGCTCATGTAGAAACTGCAGGAAGTTATGCAGAAGATCTAGATTAGATCGTTGATGAAGGTGGGGCTACACCAAATAACAGATTTTTAACATAGACAAAGCAGCCTTCTCTTGGAAGAAAATGCCATCGAGGACTTTCATAACTAGAAAAAAGAAGTCAATGCCTAGCTTCATAGCTTCAGTGAACAGGCTGACTCCCTTGTTAGGGACTAATGCAACTGTTAACTTTAAGTTGAAATTAATGCTCATTTAGCATTCCAAAATCATGAGGGTCCTTCACAATTATGCTATATCCACTGTGCCTGTGTTCAAAACACCACAGCACCTCTGTTTACAGCATGGATTACTGAATATTTTAAGCACACTGTTGACATCTATTGCTTAGAAAAAAAAGATCCATTTCAGAATATTATTGTTCATTGACAATGTACCCATGAAAATATATGAAGATATTGATGTTTAATATATAATATTAAATAAATATCTTAATATAATACATTTTATAGGGCTATATCTTACATAAAGAGTTATTCTTCTGATGGATCTGATGAAATTGAATTAAAAACCTTCTGGAAAGGACTCACCATTCTAGATGCCATTAAGAACATTTGTGATTCATGGGAGGAAGTAAAAACATCAACATTAACAAGAGTTTGGAAGAAGCTGATTCCAACCCTCATGGATGACTTTGAAGATTGTAAGACTTGAGTAGAGAAAATAACAGCAGATGTGGCCAAAATATGCAAGAGAACTAGAATTAGAAGTGGAGCCTGAAGATGTGACTGGATTGCTGTAATCTCATGATCAGACTTGAACACATGAGGAGTTCCTTCTTATGGAAGACAAAAGAAAGTGCTTTCTTGAGATGGAAATGACAACAAAGGATTTAGATATTACACAAATTCAGTTGATAAAACATTGGCAGGTTTTGAGAAGACTGACTCAAATTTTGAAAGAAGTCCTACAGTAGGTAAAATGTTATCAAACAGCATTGCATGCTACAGATAAATCTTTTGTGAAAGGAAGAACCTGTTAGTGTGGCAAGCTTCACTGTTACATGATTTTAAGAAATGACCATAACCATCTCAACTTCCAGCAAAAACCATCTTGATTAATCAGCAGCCATCAACATTGAGGCAAGACCTTCCAGTAGCAAAAACATTATGACTTGCTGAAGGTTCAGATGATCATTAGCCTTTTTTAGTAATATAGTATTTTTAAGGTATGTACATTTTTTAGATATAATGTTATTGCACAATTACCAGACTACAGTATAGTGTATACATAACTTTTATATGTATTGGGCAACCGGAAAATTTGTGTGACTTGCTTAATTGCAATGTTTATTATATTGCAGTGGTCTGGAATGGAACCTGCAGTATCTCTGAGGTATAATTATACTTCATTTTTATAATTTTATTTTATTTTTTAATTGAAATTTAATAATTGTACCTATCTATGGAGTACACAGTGATTTTTCAATACATAAAATATATGGTAATCAGATCACCTTTATTATCATACATATTACACATCATCTCAAACATTTATCA